TACATGTCAATGGGTATTAAAGCTTAGTTCCTTCTAACCAGCTCAACTATCCAGCCCTCATGGATGTTGTTGGGTGCCTCTCTGTCTAGCCACCCCAGCCCCTGTCCTAGTTTTTATGCCTTCCTGTGGGAGTGGTAACCCAAGAGGGAGGAGCCCACTATTTTCCTCCCAGGCCTCTCCCACTCCCGGATTATGCACTCTCCAGGTGGTTCTGTGGTTTGACTTGATGGAATTGGCCCCCAGTGCCAACTTCTGCCAGCTGATGCTGCGGTTAAACCCAAACAACCCTCACCCACTCTAATTTTGTTTGCACCAGTAGGAATAATCAGCCCAGCCTTGAAGCCAGGAATTTAATTGGGGTCATTCATGTGGGTGCAGGAGACCAAATCCTTGGACCATCTGTTGCATTCCCAGGCACTTTAGCAACTGAATTGGAAGTAGAGCAGCTGGGACTCAAACCAGCCTGCATACGGGTTGTTGACTTTGCAAGTGGTGTCTTTTTTCTTTTTTTTTTTTTTTTTAAGATTTAATTTTTATTGGAAAGGCGGATATACAGAGAGGAGGAGAGACAGAGAGGAAGATCTTCCATCCGATTTACTCGCAATGGTCGATGCTATGCCGATTTGAAGCCAGGAGCCTCTTCTGGGTTTCCCACACGGGCGCAGGGTCCCAAGGCTTTGGGCCACCCTTGACTGCTTTCCAAGGCCACAGGCAGGGAGTTGGATGAGAAGCAGGGCTGCCGGGATTAGAACCGGCGCCCATATGGGATCCCGGGTGTGCAAGGCGAGGACCTTAACCACTTGTGCCACCGCGCCGGGCCCTACAAGTGGTGTCTTAACCCAATATACCACATCACTGACTCCCAGTTACACTATTTTAAACAACTGACGTATATCTTCAGGCATATATATTTGCGATTATTTCCCTAAGAGATTCAGAGGACAATTGTTGGATTAAAGAACAAATACGATTAGACTTCTTTTATATTAGATATGACAGTATTTTTACATTCTTCCCAAAACCTGAGTTAAAAGGACAAAACATGAGGTTTTCTCTGAAGGGGTTGTGTGTTCCTCGGTCTCCAGGAGGTCTTAGCTTTCTCTGAAGAGTGTGAGGGTGAGCGATGGCATGAGGAACTAGCGGTTGCCTTGGTGTGTTGCTGGAGTGCATGCTAACAATCATCACGCTTAGAAAACTTTAAAAAGTCTCTGTTAAGCATGTCTAATTCAGAATAGAGTTTCGATACATGTAAAGCATGATATTGACATTTTATTTCCACAACAGTGTCTACTAAACAACATCTGCTTGTCTTCAACTCTTAGCACTTGACCTGCGCATTGAATCAATTCTTTAATCGTGGGTTGGCAGGAATGAGAAATCAGTTGGGAGGAGTGGAATTGTTCAAAAGTAGTTGTGGGCCACAAACGCCTAAGTGGTGTGACATTGTGTGTCTGTGTGAGTGGTGTGTGAGTGAGTGTGGGTGTGGGCCCTGCTGAGTGCTGGACCACTCTGAATGGTCAGAAGGTGGAGGTTGCCAGAGTGAGATCAAGGCCGCTGGAGTACAAAAGGTAAAGTTGGCAAGGCACTTGGTGCAACCATTTCTGTCTTTGTACAAGGAGTTTTTGAAACACCTCGGACTTCTAGGAAATGTGAATCTGAATAGCTCAAATCTCTATAGCCGAGGACAATTTTCTACAAGCTGCTTTTATAATGTTACTGGCCTAAATTGAATGCAGTGTTTTTTTTCTTTGACATTTTAAAGTTTTAAGAATTAGTGGCCTTCTATTAAAAATGTGTCATTTGATTATTTTAAATGTAGAGAAGCAGAGAGAGAGTAAGTGAGATCCCGCATGCTGGTTCACTCCCCAAAGGCTCACGTCAGATCTGAAGGAGGAACCAGGAACTTTACCGGGGCCTCCCACGGCTCACACGGCACCAGCTGCCTGAGTCGTCATAGGCTAATTCTCAGGGTGTGCATTAGCAGGAAGCTGGAACATGGAGCAGATCTAGTCTTGAACCCAGGCACCCCTGATTGGGATGCAGCCATCACACGTGCCATGCCAGATGCAGACCCTCCCTGGCTGTACTATGTGCTGTTGGCGACCTGTCAGGTGCAGAAGTTATACCTCTGACCCTCTTTGTGGAGTTCAAGTTCAACAAAAGAAGAAAGCCAAAGTGAAAAATGTCAAGGGCAGGATTATGGTACATCAGCTTAAGCTGCTGCCTGCAATGCTGGCATCCCCCGTGAGCACTGATTGCAGTCCTGGCTGCAACACTTCTGCTCCAGCCTCCTGCTAACGCACTTGGGAAAGCAGCAGTTCTTGGGCCCTTGCACCAGCATGGGAGACCTGGATGGATTTCTAGGCTCCTGGCTTCTGCCTGGCTCTTGTGGCCACTTGGGGAATGAACCAGTGGATAAAAGATCTCTCTCTACTCTGCCTTTCGAATCAATGAATCAATATATCTTTTTAAAAAATGTGTCAAACCAATAATTGCCTGATTTCTAAGGACTCTTGACCCATAGAATACTTGGACAAGTCACATTTGGACTGGGGACCTCGGTTTGGCCAGCAGTGCTCGATGCCACTGCTATGGCTGCAGGAGGAGGTTTGGGGCTGGACACATGACTCAAATAAGATTCACTCATTTCCCTTAGCATTATAGTTTCCAGTTGTGCCCATTTAGCCACAAAGAACTGCATTTTGTTTTTTTTAACAGCTGAGTAGTATTCCATGGAGTAGATGAACCAAAGCTTTCTTATCCAATCTTCTATTGATGGGCATTTCGGTTGCTTCCATGTTTTTGCAATTACTGATTGTGCTGCAATGAACATGGGGATGCATGTTGGTTTGTCGTAAAACAGGTGTTTTGGATATATTCCTAGGAGTGCTATTGCTGGGTCATATGGCATGCAGATTCCGAGTTGTTTGAGTGTTCTCCAGACTGATTTCCATAAAGGCTGTACCAATTTGCAGCTCCACCAGCAGTGGAGTAGGGTTCCCTTTTCCCCGCATCCTCGCCAGCAAGCGTCGTTGGTGTTCTTGTTTATGTGGGCCAATCTTACTGGTGTTAGGTGGTACCTCATCGATGTTTTAATTTGGATTTCCCTTATTGCTAGGGAGCTGGAACATTTTTTCATATGTTTGTTTGCCATTTGGACTTGCTCCTTTGTGAAATGTTTGCCCATTTCCCTTGCCCATTTCTTGAGTGGCTTGTTTGTTTTGGTTTTTTGGTTGTTTTGAAGTTCTTTGTATATCCTGGAAATTAGCCCCCTATCGCCTATATCGTGTGCAAAGATCTTCTCCCACTCTGTGGGTTGCTTTTTTACTTTGTTGATTGTTTCCCTTGCTGTACAGAAGCTTCTTAGTTTGATGAGGTCCCATTTGTTTATTCTGTTCTCAACTGCTATTGCTTTTGGTGTCCTTCTTAGAAAGTCGGAACCTACTCCTAGGTCTTGCAGTGTATTTCCTACATTTTCTTGCAAGAGTTTGAAGGTTTCTGGATGTAGGTTTAGGTCTTTTATCCATGTAGATTGGATCTTAGTGTATGGTGATAGATGTGGGTCTATCCTTTTGTTTCTACAGGCTATCAGCCAGTTGTCCCAACAACATTTACTAAAGAGGCCTTCCCACTTGCTTGAGCTATCATTGGTCTTTTTGTCAAAGATTAATTGGCTGTATTTGTGTGGGTTCCCTTTTGGTGCTTCTATTCTATTCCATTGATCTTCTTTTCTGTCTTTGTGCCAGTACCAGGCTGTTTTGATAACCACTGCTCTATAGTATGTCCAGAGGTCCGGGATTGTGATTCCCCCTGCTAATCTCTTATTTTTCAGGATGGTTCTAGCTATTCGTGGTTTTTTGTGTTTCCAGATGAACTTTTGAATCATTGTATCCAGTTCCGTGAAGAATGTTTTGGGCAATTTGACTGGAATTGCGTTGAAAATGTATATTGCTTGTGGTAGTATAGACATTTTAATGATATTGATTTTGCCTATCCAGGAGCACGGGATGTTATTCCATCTTTTGAGGTCTTGTTCAATTTCCTTTTTAAATAGTTTGTAGTTTTCTTCGAATAGGTCTCCTACGCTTTTGGTTAGATTTATTCCCAAATACTTCATACTTCTCTCTGCTATTTTGAATGGTATCCTGTTCCCAGTGGCTTTTATCAGGGCCTTTTCTCCAGCAGATGTCAGGAGACAGAAGTCTCCTACCTAACACATGGCTTTGTGCTTGGAAATAGGAGCAAGCATCACTGCCTACGGGCGATCATCCTGAGAGGCAAGATGGCAGACAGGAAAGCAGAACCGAGATAGAGGAGAGAAAGATGGAGTCAAGACCAGGCCCCACACTTGATCCACCTGTACCTGAAACCAATACTAGCCTCAGATATCCCGGCTTCATCAACCACACTGTTTGGTTTAAAATTGTTCAAGTTGGGTGCCTGCCACATCAGTGGGCTCTTCAGCTGGATTATTTCATTATGCTTATCACCCTCATTTTGTAGATAAGGAAATGGAGACCCAGACAGGTTCTGTACTTTGCTAAAACTAACACAGCTGGGAAGTAGAGTTGGGGTGGAGGTTGGGCTGTTCTTACTTTTTAGCCTGTGCCTTTTTGTGTAGTCTGTGCAGGGCTCTGGACTGGCCAGCCGGACCCTTGCCAGCATCCAGGTGGAACGCACTGGCTCTTTTGTTGACTGATTCACGAACAGGGTAATGGCGGGTACACTCAGGATCAGGCAGATTTACTTGGATTCCATGTTTTATGTCTGGTTACTTCAGAAACCCCATTTTAATGAAGGCTCCGCACTTTACAGAGACCACTAACTGGGCTGGATGTGTACCCAGTTGCCTTCCAGGCAGCCAGGCTGCTAAAGATAAAACACAGATTCTGCAGTCACAGTCACAGGTGGGATGAAGGAACGAACACTTCCCACGTCCCCGCCCCAGCGCCTCAGAGAAGTGAGCACAAGCTATTCGAAGGAAGATGGCATTTCTTTTCTTCTTCTTCTTTTTTTAATATTTAGGTAACAAAACACAGCTCAACACTCGATGTACACAAAATAAGAGCAAAATCTAGAAATGACAAGGCAAAATCTACATTTGTGTGTTGGTCAGGGGATATGGTTAATTAAAAACCCAGCTCGGCATCACCTCATGGCTTCACACCGGTGGTGGGAGGGAGAGCTCATTGTGCCCGGTGACCTCCAAGGGCACGTTCACGTGCACCAGCGATGCCTGGGCGTTTTCCCCTAAGTGGTAACCCTATGGCCAGATGCCCCAGCACCAAAGCTGCCCTTGATTTGGTATTTTTTTGTAGGTTTCCCTTCTGTAAGCGTCTTAGCGGGCCTACTCTGGCTTTGCTGTGGAAATTCTGGTGGAATTCTGGTATTCTGCAAGAGGGCTTTTGTCTTTCTGCTCAGGAGGACAGGGGTGTGAGCAGAGGGAAGGTGTGTGATTGCAAAGCTCTCAGGTCTGCTGGACCAACCCACAGGCCAGCCACGCGGTTTGGATGACGTGCTCTCGGGGTAACGAGTGACCACAGCATCTGCTGTCAGCTAGCAACACCTGTGGCCTTTACGTGTGGGCAGGGGCCACGTGGAGGCTGCTCCCCACTTGAAGAACAGATTCTGACCTGTTTTCCAGAACTTGATGTGGTTCACCATTATTTTTTCTTTTTACCTGAGTTGTGCTGTTTAGACATGTGCCATTGGAGTCAGGGGCACCTCCAGGAGAGGAATCAGGGTCCAAGATCTTTTCATGTTACAAATTACAACACAGACAATATCAAAACAACTGTTTTTCCATTTTCCTTGCTCAAAGTGCAAGGGTGAGACTAATTCAGAGACTGTTTCGTTTTTAACCTATCGCTATTCTAACTATGTAGAGAGCTAAAAATGATCATTGTCTTACTTCTACGGGGACAATGCAGCAATTGTTCCCGTAGAAGTAAGATGTTGGTGGGGAGCTCAGGAGTTAGCAGAAGGGCCTGGCTGCCTCCAACTGAGAACCACATGGATTAAGGTCACAGGTGAGAAAATCTAGACGACGGGCTGCAGGTAGTGCACGTATCTGCCCCTTCTCAACTCTCCTTTAAATGGTGGGACGTCCATAGGCTTTGGCTGAGCTCTCTTGGGGGGTGTTTCTTCTGCCTAAGCCGAGGGGTCTTGGAATGCTACACGTAGTCGTACTTGGAAGGCTGAGACTGCACTTCATCCTCTCCACGGGCACCTCCATCATATATCCTCTTGTTTTTGGTGTTGGACCCAAAGCCGGTGCTGGCCTTGAAGCCTCCAGGCTTGTAGGCCACATTGTGACCCGAGGCGTGATAAGACACAGCTTTGTAGCTGCAAAAGAAAGAAACATTTTGTGACTGTGAAGGTAGAGGCCAGCTTCTGTGTTTGTCCTGGGGTCCCTCAGTTTTGGCACTGGATACCGAGGGTCCCTGGGAATGCATTAGTCCTGGGCCAGTTGGACAGATGGTTCCCCCAGGCTTTGGGACACAGGCTTTTCTGCCTTTGCAGTGGAACAGAATTCCTTGTTTGGTAGTAGAGCCTGGCTGAACTGGTGCCTGCCTGATAAGCAGGTCCTTCAGCTGAGTTTTTCATTATGTTTATTACCCCCATTTTGGAGCTGAGAAAACAGACCTTGAAAGGTTCTGAGCCAGTAGCTAGTGACCAGCAAGCATGCTTCATAAGTCAATGTGAAAACATGTCAATGGAACTTTGCTTGGCAAAGCATCACAGAACTGGGAGATGTAGGGTACCTATGTGCAACTGTCTCATTTTACAGACAAGATAACAGAATGTTCCCCTGCAAAATTCAGGTGCAGACTTAATCCGTATTGTGGTAATATGGGGACAAGGTCTTTGGGGAAGTGATTAGGTCTGAGGCCTCTCTAACGCACAGGTGCTTTTCTGAATGGCTGGAGGCTGCAGGGGGAGGCACCTTCTCACTTCCGTCCAGTGCAGACACAGTGGGTTCCCCTCTGGAGGATGCAGCACCAAGGCACCATCTGAGGGGGAGCCCTCACTGACACCAAACCTGCCAGCACTCTTGTCTTTAACTTCCAGGAGAGCTGCGTTTCTATTGCTCACAAGTTGCCCATTCTGTGGTGCTCTGTGATAGCTGCCCACATGTACTGAGAGGCTCAATGTCCGGAGGGCAAATGTCCTCCGGGAGGAGGCGCTGGGCTGGTTAGCAGCAGGACCGTGTTGGACTCCGGCTCCAGGAGCTCCAGGAGTCTGTGTGCAGCGATGTTGTTTCCCAACAGCAGTGCTGTTGGCGACTGGAATGGCTGCTGCTTCACGATAGACTCTGAACAAAGGACATGTCTAACAGGGAGACTCACTTGGTATTATCAGGTGCCAGGCCCCGGCAGGCAATGCACATCATCACACCTCCGATCAAGGTGAGACCTCCAGCCACCCAGCCCACGAACAGAGCTGCTCCAAAGGTGTACCTGAGCGAGGAGACAGCACGGGTTAGGGTAGGCCTACCTCCCCAGGCTCCGCCCACTGAACCCAACCATGGCCACCTTCCCTGATGCTCTCCTCTTGAAGGCTCAGCAAGAGAAGTCTGAGAGATACAGAATCAGTCTCTCATTGCTCGATCTGAAGGGGTTCTTGATCCTTGTGTTCTCTGGACCCAGGAACATTCAGCTGCCTTGACTCAGGTCACTGCTGGGCTGTGGTTCAGACATAGGCTGAGTGTTTTCCAGAGTCCAAGTGTTGAAATGTAATCCCCATTGTGTGAGAACTTAATCCAGTCATGGTGTTTACAGGATGGGTCTCTGGGTTCGGATTAGAAAGGTCAGGAAGGTTGAGTTCCCTGATTGAAATCTTTAGGGTTTATAAGAGGGAGAGAGATCAGATGGACACAGATTCACAGCAATGATTTCTGGCTCTTGCCATGTGACACTTTGTGCTGCCTTTAGACTTTTGGAAACAAGGCCATCACTGGACGTGGCCCTTTGGCTTTGAACCACCAGAACCGTGAACTAAAAACAAGCTTATTCATAACATAGCCTGCTTTTGGTATTTCACTATATTAGTGAAAAAATGGACATATACAACTTGCCACCATCCTTATAATTAGGAGTAGTATCTTCAGAAAGAATGATGTTGAAGTGACCACGTATTATTCCATTTCTTTGATTACACATTTGTTCAACGTGAATTTGTTACTATATGCTTGCTGCTTCCTGTCCTGGCACTGGGGTAAACTGCCCTTTGGTGCCTCTATTTCAGCCTCCACTAGAATTCTAAGCTGGGGTTATTCTAACTCCAAAGTCAGCGTCTTCCTCTGTGAGATCTATGACCAGCAGGACTTAGTAACATCAGGAGGGGATTGAAAAATAAAATCTTCAAAGAATAAAACCCTGGTGATTCTCTATGGACATTTTGGATGATATATGGGATAGATTTAATCCATCAGTGACCAAAAACTACCAGGATGGCAGTGGGCACCTCTACATTAGCTGGTAGCTTGACCTCTATCTACAAGAGCCCTGCAGAAAAGCAGAGCTCAGCATGGTGGATGCTTTCCCTCTGGAAGTTTCCGTTTCTGTTTTTCAGTGAGCCTGGGGCACACGGAGGGGGGTTGCCGTGAGGAGGGAGAGTAGGACAAATGGGATACTGGAGCCTAAGCTCTGTCAAAATCAATGTCAATTTGTTTCTTGGCAGCATGGTTGTCCTGTGTGGATGTGTGGCTGGAGAAGGAGAAAGACAGCTGTCCACTCATGGAGAGAGAAGATCAGGAGGCCTTTCAGAATCCCGTCGTGTTTATCCCAGAGCTATGACTACCTGCCCAAGGCACAGAACAGGTGCAAGGGAGATGGTGGGAGGCAGGGGTGCCAGGCGTTAGTGTTGTGAGAAGGTGAGTGCTAAGTGGTTCCTTTGGATTGCAGCAGACAACAGGCACCCAGATTCGCAGAACAGAGTGGGCCTTTGTAACTAAGATGACAGACCACTCTGTTTTTCCCATGGAGGAGAATTTCCCAGGCCGAGGGACTTCTAATGCTACAACTGGAAAAGTCCCCAGCAAGCTGGATTGAGTTATTCAGCCTACATCTTAATTAAGCTGCCTTGTCATCAAGAGGCCATGTGAGAATCACGGAAGAGGAGGAGGGAAGCTTAGGGGAGGTCAATTCCTCTTCATTTTGGAGACACAGCAGAAACATGGATAGGGACTGAAGTTTTAGGGGGTCAGAGAACAATGGCATGTCACACCCTCACGCCTGCCTATCAGTGTGTCCAGAAAAAGGCCAAGTGAGTGCGTCCACCCCAGAGATGACAGGTGGGCCACTCGGATGTGACATTTGTCATTGATCTGGAAGATCTTTCTCCTGCCGGCTTTTGCTGCAGAAGTTGATATTGATTTCCATCTTTGCAAAGTTGTACCATCCTTAGGCACCAGTTACAGTAGGGTTTCATCTTCCTATGCTAAACTGTAATCTCCATGAGTGGGGACCTCGTCTGCATATCCAGCTCAATGAATACTTCCTGGCCCATAGCAAGTGCTCAGCACATTTGTAGACTGCATAAATTAATGAACGAGAGAAAGAAGGCAGCTGAATAAAGAAGGACTACCTCCCACCCCCTCTTTTTTTTTCACTTGTGCTGGGCATCTTGCTCGTTTCCATCCAAGTTTTTACCTATTCCTGCCTGGGTTCCAGCTATGGACAGTAGATAGAAGTTGATGTTCATTTACATGCGTGAGTTAATAGTGCCTGTTCCATTGCCACCACAATGGGAACTGTGTAAGAGTGTTAGATAAATACTGCGGACTGTCACTGTAATTCAATGCACATGTCAGATCAGCCTCAAGTCATATCACCAAGGATATTTAGCTGAAATGAAGTTTATGAATTTACGGATCATTGTTGATTTATGATATGGCGTGGCTGCCCCTGATAAATTTTTGCTATTTCGGATGCTGACAGTCACATTAGGCACATGCGTCTAATCAGATTCTTATGACAATGTTCAGCAAGGAATGGTGAGACACAGATTAGGAGGTTACCTGGTCTGAACTGTCTGCACCATTCCTCCCATCCCAGTGTACATGTTAGCTGAGGACATCCAGAAGTTAGTGACCAGCATGTTGGCAAAGACGGACACTCCGATAATGGCACACAGACCTGTGGGTAAAGAACGAGAGATCCCTGAGTCAGTGATTAGGAGTCTGTTCCTGAAACAGTGTATGCTTAAAAGAGCTGAGATGAACAGGATCCAGAGTATTCCATTTCTGTAATAGAATGGTCTGTTACAAGCACCAGTGATTGAATCCCTACTAAGTGCTGGGCAGTGTGTTGGGTTCTTATCTCTTTTCTCACTAAATCTGGTGCAATTTACATGTGTATAGGATTTTTCACTTACCTTGCAAAGCAGGGTAAACAGTTAAAATATTTTGGGCCTAGTCTTTGGATGATGTCAAAGACCTTTTCCTTAAAATCAGTCACTAGAGTCTCACTAAGAAGATGCCTTTAAGGGATCCAGTTGTGATGATTCTGCAGTGTGTAATGGGCCTCTGCATCCCAACTTGAACCCCGAAGCACGTTCCATCATGGGGAGGAACCATATGTCACCACCAGCACGGTTTTGCTATGGTGTTCTCAGAAGCCAGGAACTTACCTGAGATGATGAATATGATCCCGGAGGTCAGTGTCATGTTGGCCTTGGCAGAGTCCTCCATGCTGCCAATACGAATGCATTTCAGGGCAAAGATGGACACTAGGATGCCGAAAGCACCCAGGACGATGCCCACAACCATTAGGGCCCGCACTGCCTGCAGCATGGCTGTGGAACAAGGGGGAGACACAAGCAGACAGATTAGACAACCCCACCACTACTAAGTATGCTTTGGTGGAACAAAACAAAGAACCACAACTAGCTACCACCAAACCTCTGAGAAATAGCAAGCCCATCGATCACGCGTTTGTCTTTGTCGAACGATGCAGAACTGTGGGTAGTGCAAGGCACATCACTCATTCCTCACACTAATGCAGGATACATGTGGTTCTTACCAGATGGGAAAAGTGGGGTACCCCATACAGTGGCAAGTGAACTAGGGAGGCGGAGACACTGCTTGAGCCCCTGACCCCAGCTGTTCCTGGGACCCAGTTGCATTGTTTTGCTGGGGTTCCAGGAACTACCACAGTATCGTATTTTAAAGCATTCTCTTCCTCAGTTAAGTCAATCCAGGTTGGGGTGCTGTTACTTGGACTCAAGTAGTTCTCATTTGCACAAGATGTTTCCATCAGTGTCTAGGCTTGCCCTTGCAAGCTTTGTGTGGATGGAGAATTTCCAGGCCGTCTGGGGTTCAAAGGCGTGGCCAAGGCATCGCCAAAGTTCCTTATAGAAGTGAGGGATCTTTGTGAGAAGCAGCATGTTTCACAGCGTCACATCGGAGCAGGAACAAAGGCCACCATTTTTTCTCTTGTTTGAAATGGCTGGACATATCCTAGTCATGTGAGCAATGAGTACACATCACAAAACTTTCAGAACCCATAGAAAACCATCACCAGGAGAAAGGCCCAAGGAGCTCATTATCCCTGCTCTAGCCAGTAACTAGCTTTCACATCTCGGTGAGTAATTTTCTAGGAAGACATTTTTTTAAAGAGCAGAGCCAAAGCCTTGGTGGGGCATTACCCAGCTATCCAGACTAAAGAAAGCAAGCTGGGGACTTGCTAGGTATTTGCAGTTCTAATGGCAAGGGTGTGGGTGACAGAGTTGTCACTCCTACCCTCAGGAGGAACACATACTGAAGCCCAGACAAAAGCATAGTTTGAGGATGGAAAAGAAACAAGAGAATTAGTTAACATTTGGGGGCCATTGATGGCTCAGCTGGCTAATCTTCCACCTGCAAGTGCTGAGATCCCATATGGGTGCCAATTTGTGTCCCGGATGCTCCAGTTCCCATTCAGTTTCCCATTCAGCCTGGGAAAGCAATGGAAGATCATTCAAGTCCTTGGGAAACCAGAAAGAAGCTCCTAGCTCCTGGCTTCGGATAAGCTCTGCTCTGACTATTGTAGCTATTTGGGGAGCAATGCAGCAGAAGGAAGATCTTTGTCTCTCCTTTCTGTAAAACAGATATACCTTTCTAATAAAAATACATAAATCTTTTTTAAAAAGAGTTAACTTTTTTTTTTTTTCCTCTGGAAGGCGATACTGGGGAGATCTCCCTAAACTGCTAGAAGCAAAATGCTCCGAGGGGGCTGAGAGCAAGACAGAAACCTTGTCCTGCCATGCTGGCCACCCAAATGCTCCTTTCTGATTGACAGCTGTTAGAGGCCCTTTAGACATTAAAAAGATATCAAAGCACACACAAATCCCTGCTGTGACTGTGGCTGGGGTCCCTGGCCTTCCCTGGTGTTACTGGGGTAGGTATGTAATGTTGGCAGGTGGGCAGTGAGAGCTGTGAGGGGTTGTCCGGCAGCAGCCGTCAGAGACTGGAGCTCAGGCTATCCCGTCTTGCTCATTCTTGTTCGTCTCCTTAAAGATTTAATTATTTATTTGAAAGAGAGTGAGAGAGCAAGAGAGCGAGTGACAGGGTGATCTTCATGTGCAAATTGTCATAGCTGCCAGGTCTGGATGAGGCTGAATCCAGGAGCCAGAAACTCCATCTTGGTCTCCTAGGTGGGTGGCAGGGGCCCAAGCGCTTGAGCCACCTTCTGCTGCTTTCCCAAGTGCATTAAGAGGGCGTTAGATCTGAAGCAGAGCAGCCAGGACCCCAACTGGCACTCTGAGAGGAGATGCTGGTATTGCAAGTAGCAAATGAACCTGCTGCCCCACAACACGGGCCCCAGCCAGTCTTTGCTCGGGCTCCCAGGTGTGCTGCTGCCTGTGCTGGGTCAGGCTTGCATGACGAAGCCTCAGTTCCTTCCTGCGATCGCTTGACCTCTGGATTCTGATATACCCTGACCCCTGTTGGAGCCCAGGGTCCATCCTGACCTGAGCTCCTTTTCACTTCCCAGCACCTCCTTTCAGCTTACCCCTTTCTTTCAGCCCATAGCTGGAAAAGATGTGACATTATGGGGGTTCTTCCAAGAGTGGCAACAGGGATAGGGACAGGTGCCAAGCAGTAGTGGAAAATGTGCCCCACTCCTCGGTGCTAGAAATCCCCTATGCCACAGGGTCACTTGGTGAGGAGGTGAGTGCCCCTTCCAGCTGGGAGATCTACCATATTGTAATCCTTTACAGATAGGTAAAAAGTCCCCCAAGCAGGCAGGTTTCTCTTTTCTCCATTCTGTATCTTGTTCAACACTCTGATTAAGAGGCGTGGGGACTTATCAGCTGATAACGGGTGAGTCAGTGGCTCTGTGGCCTGGTTCCCTGCACCGAAGGTGTGACTACAGCATTCTTTCCAGTGAATAATGAGTCCTTATCAGCCCTGAAGGGCGGGCAGAATTGAGGTCTGGCAGAAGCAAACACAAAAAGGGGAGCTCAGTGTTCCCTCCCTGTTACAAAACACTGTATTCCCCCAAAGCATCTGTGGACTGACAGGTGAGACGCACAGGGGCACACCCATGTGGTGTGCACCTGTGTATCACCCTGGGCAGCTTCTAAAGATGGGAAAGTTCTGGTCTCACCCGCAAAGATTTTCATTTGCTGTTCAGGAGCCTGAAGTTTCAAGGAATAAGATGGGAAAACATGTGTGCAGAGGGCCTGAGAAACAGGTGCTCAGAGCAGGGGGTTGGGAGAGATGAGACCTGCCGGGGGCAGACAGTCCACTGAGCTGGTGAGATGGCAACTCGTCAGCAGGCACAGGCCTAGGCGGGCATCTTGATGCGCAGAGGCTTGGAAGGGCAGCATCTCCAGGCACAGCTTGGCCTCCAACTGAAGGTAGTAAGAGGAAAGACCAGAGGAGGGAAGAGGGGGCGCTGATGGCAAGGAAAGTTTCTTCCTGACAAGGTAGAAGAGCCTGCAGTCTCTTTGAGTTGCTGGGGAGCTACAGGGAGGGTTTGTAGCTCCTGAAATCCTACAGAAGAGGCCAGTGCCAGCAGCGAGCTGCCAGGGAGTCATCTGACCTCACTGCGGCAGAGGCTCCTCCATCTGGAGTGGGTGGGCTAAAGACATCTGCTGAGAGATGTTCAAAGGATGAGGCTCCATAGAGATTAATCTCTCCCTTTCCCTAAAGAGGACCTATCTCTGGGCTGGCCCACGCAGTCTGGCTTGTACTGCCTGAGTCCTCTCACTGGGTTATACTTGAGGATTTGAAAGTACGATAGGTGTAGGATTGTGATTAGCAAGAAGGGAAGGTTTTGGAAGAAAGGGAAGAGAAAGGCCTGGACTTGGTGGCACTAAGGAGGAGGCGTGACCATGTGCAAAGGGATGCTGTATCTGGCCAGCGTTGTGCTGGGGAGGTGCTGATGGGTGAGTGATACAGGTGGCTTTCTCTCCTCACTGCCAGTCTTCTCACCCCTGCTGCAATTTGAATGCATGTGTTTATGTGTAACTTAATGCTCAGTGTCATAGAGTTAGGAGGTGGGATCTTAAAGAATTGGTTAGGCTGGGGCCCAACATGATCACTCAGTGGCTAATTCATCCTCTTGCATGTGCCGGGATCCCATGTGGGCATTGGTTCATGTCCTGGCTGCTCCACTTTCCATCCAGCTCCTGGCTTGCTGCCGTGGCTTGCAGTGGAGGATGGCCCAAAGCCTTGGGACTCTGCATGAGTATGGGAGACCTGGAAGAGACGTCTGACTTCAAATCAGCTCAGAAATGGGCATTGTGGCAACTTGGGGAGTGAACCAGAGGATGGAAGATCTTTCTCTCTGTCTCACCTTCTGTCTGTAAATCTGCCTTTCCAATAAAAATAAATAAATCTTAGAAAAAATCGATTAGGCCATACGGATGGATTGGTGCTCTCTGTAGAAGGAGTTGAGGGAGTTGGTTTGCCTTTTTTTCTCTGCCTGTTCTTTTGTCAGAGAGGACACAGTGTTGGTCCCACTCACCACGTAAAGAGATAGCCAGAGACACCATGTATGAAGGCTGCAGGCCCTCATCAGACACCGTGTATGCTGGAGCCTCGACCCTGGCCTTGTCAGCCTTCAGGACTCGAGAAATGCATGTGTATTGTTTATAAATGTAAACAGTGCAGGTGTCTGTTGTAACAGTATTCCAGTAGGAATAGCCTGAGACAGTCTCCAGCTACACTCAGATGCGTCCCCGGATCAGGGTTCTGTGTGGCCCTGCTGCCACAGCCACGTGTAGAGCAAGGGTTCTGACCGCGAGCTTCATCACCCAGCTACTGGGCAGGGTCTTTGAAAGCTCTTCTCAGGGCCCTGTGTTGTGTTGCCAAGTCAGGTTCAACAAGGTGCAAATGTTCAGGTGGTTTTCACACCTTTAAACAGACATGTTTGTGCCAAAATGGTTTTTTTTTTCTATAGAAGAAAAAAGAAAGCAAGTTGACTGAAAACCAGGAGATTTCCCTTAGATCTCATTTTAACTTTATAACTAACTTATAAATGCTTCACCTCCTTGGCCAACTTCCGGGTGAACTGGGGCAAGATGCTGGTTTTGTGAGACTGGGGGCACTTGACTTACACAAAACCACTCCACCACATTAAGAAGGAATAAAAGGGGCAGCTCCTTCTGAAAAGAAACTTAAGAGAAATCTTATGTATTATGCTCTTTAGACGTTGTGGAATTATTCTCTGGTTCAATGTGGTTTTGTTAAAGACCTTAATGCTAGTGGGTATTAATATGATTGGTAGATAAATGAACACTTCTCTAGTTTTGCAGTGGCTTTTGTCTTTTACATAATTGTGGTAGGAAGTGGGGGATGCGGGTGGGAATGTAGCCAGTCACATGGGAGAAAAATCAAGACCCTTGGATCCTGCAGAGGGGCTGGAACTCTGAACACAAGTGAGTTGGAGGTGGGAAATGGGAAACAAAAGAGACTCGAATCTTTGGATATTTGTTTCCATAAGAGGCGCTTAACTTTTGAGAAGCATTTAGCAGCTAGACTGTCTGAAGAGCTTTGGCAGGTAGAGATACAGGTGTCACACCTTCCCAAGGACAAAGTCGAGCTCTTGTAGTGTGCTGCACAGAGCCTTCACACAAATGCTAGTTGTGAGACATTTCAGAGATGGGGAGAGTAAAAGCAAGTGATGGTGTGGGGGTGACCAGGCCTTTGATTCCGACTCTTGAGCCTCTAACTGTAGGGCTGGCCACTGTACCATCTGCAGCCCACATGTTTGTAGAACATTTAGGGAAAACGAGACTCGGCTGTGATGTCATTGCAGATCCGGGCCTATCCACCCTGCCCTTTGAGTGCTTGTTGCTCTGCTTTCCCACTCTTTAGGGAGGGGAAATGGGAATGACATGCAAGTCACCCGCTCCTTGAACTTGACACTCCCAACTACACATAGTCAATGCCATTAGTATACATGAGTCACTGTGTGACATAGCCTCTGCTTCCAGCAAGCTCGAGCCCAGCAGGAGTGAGCAGGCACAAAGCACACAGACTTGGACATCCTTCAGCCTTGTATGGACACCCTGCTTCATCTGTCTTCCCTCCAGGGACTCTGGGCAAGTGACCTTGCCCTTCTCTATGTGTGTTGAGTTTCAATGTTGTAAAAACAAAGACAGTACTTAGAAGTATTACCCTGCAGTGTTGGTGAAGATTAAATTGGAGAGTGTCTGTGGAATCCCATAAATAACAGCTGCCTTCCTTTCTGAGCACTGTCCCCAGGGTCCTGCACTGACAAGGGCATACAGCAAGAGGCCATCTCTGACCATCCATCACACAGCCCTACGAGAGGCAGGTGAGCAGTCTTGCTGCTGCTACCATCTACTCATTAACTTATGTGTAGCTTCACATGATGCATCCTGTTGAACTGAGTTATTCTATATTGGAAGTAGGATATGTTTTTGACAGTGGGATGACAAGTTAAGTGGAATTACGCAAGACGAGAGCTTGTACTTAGGAGGAATTTAGTGCCCAGTGCTTATTCTTGTGACTATTAACTCAAGTAGTACAGGTATCTGCTGCATGCCTTTCCGGGAACACTTGAAAGCTTTCTTCCCTGTGGAGGGCAGTACTTCTGAGCTCTCTCTGGACGTCCCATTTCTCCTGGCATTCTGCCCAGCAATTTTGCTTCAAGTCTCTCCCCAAGCTCCTGCCACCCTTACGGAATTGCTGTAGGCAGCAGCGTCGTTGTTTCTGAGGACCAGTCCTCTCCAGGTGTCGGGACCTGGCTGGTCCTCCTGCTCTGTCGGGAGCCCCTGTGTCCTGGGCTGCCTTCCCACCCCGCACCCTGCTAGTTGCTCCACTTTCTTATGCTGCTGCATCCGGCTTTGCAGATTCTCTTGAGCTTTTGCCTCCTAGTAATCCTCCTGCCCATTCCTTACTTCAGTCGCTAAAATCTAAGTCATCCAACAAATATTTATATTGCAGGATGCCAACTGATAATATAGCCACACCTGCTGCCTGGGGACTGGCTGCTCTTAAACCCACTCCATCCTCCATAACCACAGGTGCCAGTAATTTGAAGCATCTCTTTTGGTTCAGACTCAAACCTGAGAAGTTCTCTCCCTGGATGGTACAGAGCCTTGGACAGGAGCGGGCACGGGGCAGTGGGTCTCATTCTGCAGAGTAGAACTGCTAAAGGCTACAGAGACTTCTGAGAAGAATCATGAAGATGGGGTCCCTGGGCAGAGTGGAGGCGATGGGGTGTGACCAGTTGGCAGAGTGGGGACACCTGGGGCCTTCCCACGCGGTCAGTGAGCCAGAGATGGACACTGAGCCGGGCCCTGAAAGAGGTACAGGGCAGTGCGGATGCGAGCAAAGCCTCGCCTGCCTGGCTGTCTGGCCTCGGCCCAGGCTCCACCTCCCTCAAGCGGGTCTCTGCATGGAGTTAGTGTTCCCATTGGTCCCACAATGAAGGACTTTGAAAAAATGAAATAAGTAACTCAATAATTCTCTCACTCTGATGCTTATTCTCTGCTTCTTTCTAAAAATGAAGATGAATTACTTGAATTGCTTTCATAATTGAATTTCAAGGACTCCACAGCCTCCCCACAATTTCTTGTAAACTTGTCTCCACCCTCGCTGTTCACATGGCGTTTGTGAAGGAGAGGCAGAAGCCAGCAGCGCTCCCCTGTGGCGTCACCCAGCGCTCCCCTCTGGCGTCACCCTCAGGGTGTGGTCCCCCCCCTTAGAGCCACTGATGGCTTGATACCTTCTTTTTCTTTTTTTGTTTTAAGAAAACTGTAACATCCAGCAGACAAATTTGTTATACTATTTTAAACAATTATCTGTATTGCAAGCAAGGGCTTAACTTGCTTTATCTTTGGGGGTGAAAGGGTGTCACATTGACAATTATGCTTAAATACTATATTGTTATAATATCTTCATTATAGCTGTGTAATTATATCCCAACATACCAGACATTTTCAACACAAATATAGGAAAAAGAACTTTACAATTTAATGGCAATAGGATACCTATAGAGACGCCAACTTTTCAAAGGAAAAATTTAATCGAATCAATACGAAATTAAATTAGCACCCAAAAAGCCTTTCCTGTTCTAAAATAAAATGGACTCTCCTCCTTCAGGTGTGTGCCGGCAGATTCAAGTCACGTGCAGAGACGCACACGACCTGTTTTCTTCCAGAAGGACACGGATGTACTCCGGTATCAGGAGCACGCCCCTACAGCAGACCCAGTCTGCTCCTGGCCGGCCTCCTTGCTAGCCATGCCTGGCCTTGAGTTTGCCTTCTCGGATTTTCTCCTTGACAAGGAGCCAACTTCTCTTACTCCCAGCTTTTATCCTGAGCCGGAGCTGCCAGGGTCACACTCAGAGGCAGGAACGCCAGTGGCGCGTTTGTGCGCTGGTCCCTGCTCTGTGTGCTGGTCCCTGCTCTGTGTGCTGGTCCCTGCTCTGTGCGCCCGCAGCCCAGGAGCCTACCTGGAAGGCCCAGAATGGTGAAGTAGGGCCGGCACTCGGTGAACCCTGAGCTCTGCCGCACGCAGCTCCTCCAGAGCCCTTCGTACTGGAACACGGAGGTCACAGGGTTGTCGTACAGGTCCTGGGTGCTCCACATGTCCATGGCCGTGGCGGCGATGCAGCCCGCCAGCCCCAGCATGGACAGGAGGAAGCCAACCACTTGGTACGTGGTGGTGGCCATGGCCTCAGCCGCCCTCCAAACCCGGGAAGGTGTGCGCGCCCAGCCAGCGGCCCAAGAGGGGAGCGCTTCTAATCAGATGGTTTCCCTCGGCGTGGGGTGTTTGCTCACGGTGTTTTCCTTAGATAGTTCAGTTTCACTCCTGGTTCAAGGGCATTATTTTTTCATTTGTTAGGGAAGCGGCCCCAAGAGCCACTTGTCCCGAGCTCGGCAGGCCCAGTTGGTTGGCAGCTGAGCCGTCTGAGTGGACAGAAACACTCCTGATCGTACCAGCCTCTGACCTGGCCAGCTCGCGGCCCCTCACCAAGGGCGTGCCCTGCTGCCCGCTACCCTCAGGAGCGAAGCGGCTGGGCTGGAAGCATCACCTCTGCGTGCTGGCGCTGACAACAAAACAGCCCCAGGAGCAGCCGCCCCCTTGTTCTGTCTGAAACCAAGCTTGCCCTCCCAGGGCCTAAGCCATTCCCTCAGTGACTTCCATGGCCATCTTACAGAAACAGGTCAGTCTGGGTCTGCCAACTAGCTGCTGACCCCAGCTTGATCATGACACAGGAGGGAGGAGGTAACAGAGTTCCCACCCGTGCAGGGCGCCTGGATGGAGTCTCCACTTTCCATTGCCCAGCTCCAGCCCAGGCATGGAGCTGTACAAGTAGACGGCGTGCATGCCCCTCCCCTTCTCCCCTTCTCTCCTGCCTCCCATGCAAAAGGCTGAACAGCTAGTGGAGTTAGGCCACCCAAGACATCATTATTCTGACCCTGTCACTAACCCCCTGGGGGCTAGGTGATTTGGGGTAAATTCAGGGCTTCCACCTCAGTGCTTCAGTGCCCTTTCAGAACCCCGCACTGCAGGCATCTGCACTTTGTAGACAGTTTTCGCTATAATCAGTGGACCAAGGAATAGGGACCAAGGTCTGTGGGGATCAGAGGGTTGTGTTCTGTCTGGCAGCTCTGCTTTCAAACAGAATGGATCTGCTGCTTCCCGAGGGTCCAGTGTGCCTGGCTTCTGAATCCTGATGCTTCAACTAGGCATCCCCAAATCTGTGTCCAGGCTCTGTAACACACAGCGAACCCTTCCCCACCCTGGCACACAAACACAATTAACCCTTGCTCACGCTGACGCACCCACTGCAATCTCAGCATTGTAGGTTCTCCAGGAAGTGAGCCTGTGTGTCTGTATATTTCAATGTTATCTTGGCTGCACCCAGCCACTGTTCCTACACCTTCATTCTCAGCAAACACACAAGTGGCAAATGGACAAGGCGTCGCTCCTAGCTTCAGTGCAGCCAGCACCGCTCAGTGCAGCCACCACCCCTCAGTGCAGCCACCACCCCTCAGTGCAGCCAGCACCCCTCAGTGCAGCCAGCACCACTCAGTGCAGCCAGCACCGCTCAGTGCAGCCAGCACCGCTCAGTGCAGCCAGCACCGCTCAGTGCAGTGCACAATGGAGCCTGCGGCAGAAGACTGTAAGGACACCTTGGGTGACCGAGGAAGAAGCAATGCTGATGCCTGCACAGGTGTCCTTAGCGGGGAGGGGCACTGGTAAGAAGTGGTGCTGGTCTCTGCTAGTGGGCAGGAAGCAAGCCACTAGGTGGGAAATCCTGTTGAAATGATTTGGGAATGCTTCTGCCACCGTTTCTACGGACATGGCGCATGCTGCTCCCATTAGCTGAGACGTAGGCTTTTTGTGTTTAGAGAACTCTGTCAGTTGGTTTCTCACTCTTCGGTTTGACGTTTATCCAACACCCCCTCCTACGTTCATTATAGCGCCAACAAAACAATAGATTGAGAATAGAAAATTAAAAAAAAATTGTTATGTCATTTCAAGTTAGCTACTCTCACTTATGGTGGCTTTACCCCCAGCTTCCTCTTGCAAATATTTTTATGAAAAACTTCAAATTAGGGGGAAAAAAGATATTCAAGTAATAATGAATTTTTTCTTTCTTGGTTGAAATGCAGACAAGGGCTTTCTCGTTGTTGGAAGTTCATATTAAAGCATCAACTAAAATGGTCTCACTAGGCAAAATATTGAATAGGAGAGAAATGACATGTCCACATACTTGTACTCCAGTAATACCGATACTTAAAGACCCCTGGCAGGTGAGATCTTTCACTCCCAGTGACTTTTTCTCCCATCTTGAAATGAGTGGCCTTTGCTAGACAATGAAAATCTGACTTCCTTGTTCAGCAGGCGACGCCTTATTGAAACACAGCTGATTGGGCACAGCGGGCGAGTAATGTCTCATACTGTTTAGCAATAGTGGGGTTGAACTTTGTTTAAGCAGCTACAGAATGGAGCGAAGTCTGCCGTTTGCCCAGGAGAAGACCCCACCCCAATATTCGGGTGTAAACATGGCTCTGTCAGTTTGTGTTCTTTGTCAATCTCAACACATTCACATACATTACTAAAAATATCTTTTCTCACATATTATTTGCTTTTTAACTTTGTTCATGGTTTCTATGAAGTATTTAATTGTTAAAGCTTTTGCAACATAGGTAGAATAAGCAAAAAAAATCTCTTCTTGTTATTTGTCTTATAATTTCATTTATGCTTTTAGAAAATAAGATGGAAATGTGCCCCTCAGTGTGTATTATATAACACATGCTCAATAAATATGTGTTGAATCTTGTAGACAAATACACTTTCCTTCATGTTTGCCTCCGTTGTTTATTTTATTTTAAAAATTATTTATTTTTATTTGAAAGGAAGATTTATAGAGAGAGGCCAGACAGATGTTCCATCTGCTGGTTCATTCCCCAAACGCCCACAGCAGCCGGAGTTTCCTCCAGGTTTCCCACGGGGGTACACGTGGGCTGTGTCTCGCTGCTCTCCCAGGCACAGTGGCAGGGAGCTGGGCTGGAAGTGGAGCAGCTGGACTCACTGGTGCTCCTGAGGGATGCCAGCCCTGCTGGCAGAGAATGGGCTTATGGGCCAGGGTGCTGGCTCCCTCCTGCTTTGTTTTTATGCTTAGAAAATCACTTCCATGTAGAGATAAAATCGTTTTTAAATTTAGAAATATTTTCAACATTTAATTAATTGAGATTTAAATTGTTTTAAATTTAGACATATTTTCAACATTTAATTAATTGAGATTTATTTTGATACTGTGAATTCTTTTTTTCTTCCTAAAACACCAATGACTGATTTCTGCAACAGTTGTTGAATAACTCTTCATTTCCCCACTTGTAAAAGTCCTGTATCTTTTATTAGTTTCACACACACACCTTTCTGATTTTAGATTTTGTCCCATTAATCATTTTGTTCACCCTTGTGTCAAAGGGCTATTTTAGTCAGTAAACATGGACTATCTGGCAGTCAGTTGTGACTTTTTAAAAATGCCGTTTGAGTTTATCTTGAGCAGTCTCATCCCCGGTCCGCCTTAGAGAGCATCTCTTACCCAGCCTGGATCTTGCTTCTGTATACACATATTTTGTACATTTGTTTTAGTTTATCTGAGATGTGTAGAGACAGAGACACAGACAGAAAGAGATCTCCCATGCACTGGCTCATTCCCTAAACTCCAGTATAGCCAGAGCGCAGCCAGTCTCCAGCCAGAGCTTCGGCCTTCTCACGTGAGTGGCCGAGACCCACGTACTTGAGTTATCGTCTGCCGCGTTACAGGGTGCACACCAGTGGGAAGCCGGAAGCAGAAGGGGAACTGGGGTGTAGACCTATGAAGCCAGCCCAAGAGGGCTCCATCAGACGCCTGGTCCGTGTTTCGAAATGGTGCAGGGTGCTGGGCCCACAGAATCCTGTTTCTAGGGGACTCTCCACAAACAGGTGTTGAGTGAACAAAAGAATGAATCATTGTCTGAATGGAGTCTTCACCTGTCACTTTTTATGTGTGTCTAAGTGTCCACTTTGCAGTAGGAAGGCAGGTTCCTGCAGGGGAAGGTCTCCCATTTTCTAACCTGATCTTTCTTTTTAATGCCCCTCTCTTTCATTCCTTCCCCCTCAAGCCTTTGACATGGGTTTGTGGAAGGAAAAAGTAAGCAAGGTTACTCCTGACCGTCTCTTAGCTCAGCGGTTTTTTGAGTTTCCAGCATTCTCTGTTCTTGTGATTGAATTTTTCTTCAAATGGAAATGACCGATACGCCAAGCAAACGAGCCTGTGATTCTTGCACAGCTTGCATGCCAGTCTTGTAGGGCAACCTGTAGTGCCTTTCCCCACCTGGCACAGCTCTGAGCCACAGTATCTGGCCCCTTGTGACCAATACTGCCTAGAGGTCAGAAACTGGAGCCGCAGAGCAGGGGACCTCCGGCACATCCCACAAAGGCTTGGCTGCCTCGTTTTCATCTGGCTTTTCCCTCTGCTATTCCTGCGTGTTTAAAGGTTCCTGGAAGCTGCCAGGCAGCTTGGAAGTGGAACTCCGTTCAGGAGCTAGGCAGTCCCCAGACAAGTAAGAAAGGATTTTTGGGTTAAAGAAAAAGGGGTCCATAGTCTTGTCCTTAGGATGATTAAAACTATATTATTGTTCTCATAGAACATTTTAAAATATGCCTCTTAGAATTGGGCACCATCTAGTTATAGGAATGAGAGCTCTGGCCACTCCAGAAAGTTCCATTCTCTAAGGTCCCTGTACTATTATTCCAGCCCACAGTTCCTCCCTTCCTGGCATTCCTTCCCACGGGGCCCCAGCAGAGACTGCTGTCTCCTGGTTGCCTCCATGTCTCCTCCCCAAGCCGGCCAGGGGCCCGGTACTTACCTGGCAATCCCAGCAGGGTGAAATAACCCCGGCACTCTGTGAAGCCTGAGCTCTCTCGGACGCAGGAGCGCCACAGCCCTTGGTAGTTGTACACGGCTGTTACGGGGTTGTTGTATAAGTCCTGGGTGCTCCACTGGTCCATGCAGGTGGCAGCAATAATGCCCGCAAACCCGATCAGTGAGACCACGAACCCCAGGCCCTGGCAGGCAGTCACGGCCATGGTGGAGTGCAGCGTTGACACACAGCAGTACCCAGCGAAGGGATAGCCACCTCTGAGGGGAGCGAGTATAGGGATGGAGTTTT